TCCAAGTCCTGGTGCCCTCTCTGGGAGAGAGATCTATCTGACCCTGAGGCTTGTGTTCCATCATCACAATGCACACACTGACACATGCACCACTGACCTCCAGCTCATCCTTGGAGGCTGCATCCAGCATCACAAGGTCTTTCAAGAAGGTGCCAAGGTAGGGGACCACACCCTGAGGTCAGAGGTCAGAGTCAGACACCCCTGCCACTGATCTGAGGGCTCTCCATCCCTCACACTTTCCTATTCCACTGCTTCAGAGGACAAATTGAATTCTCCACTGTGCCTCCCCTTGCCATCCCTCAGACTGCTCTCCACACACTCCTTATTACACAACCACACCACCAATCACTCACCCCACCCCGGGAGCCAGACCTCAGGGCCTTCTTAGAATTTGGTTCCAGAGACGGCTGTAGCTTCACCTCCTGGTGGTGACAGAACATGGAGCTATGGGGTGGGCAGGGGAAGCAGGGATGGCTGGGAACACCAGGGAACAAGGCCTCACCTGCAGGAGTAGCTCCCGGCTCTGAGAATAATTATCCTCCTCAGAGAAAATCTGACAGAGGCTGGAGAAGACTTTGAGGCTGTCCCTGGGGGCAGAGGGCAGCAGTCTTGAGGATAGGCCTGGCTTGTGCCCTGCTTCCCAGCCCTCACCCCCAGTTTAGTGCCCCAACCTCCCCACCTGGCTGCTTCTCCCCAGGCTGCCCGAAGCCTGTGGATAGGGCTGGACTGCAGGGCTGACACAACAGCATAAACTGAAGAGAAGTTTCTGAGCAGACGGCACTCCTGTGGGGTTGAGAGAGAGGCCAAGCTGCAGGACCTCTCTTCACACCACAGTACCCAACAGGGCCTATCTTCTCTCTTACCTCTGCCACACGGATCCATTTCTCCAGGAGCCGGGCCCTCTGAGGGGGACGGAGTGGCCGTATAGCCACCTCTCCAGGCCCCTCTCCACTTGAGGTGGCCCCCAGGACAGAGCTGACCACTGCCCCGGCCACTTTGTTGAACTGTGTGACAGTAGCTCGGACAGATGGGCAGAGGTGGGAATGTCCTGGCCGGTCTCTGTGACCCCATAGGCCCCCCAGACACTGAGAGGGGACCAGATTGAGAAACAGCTCCTGTGGGGCAGAGGTCAGAGGTTAAAGTTCATAGTCAAACAAGGTCAGCCTTCCAATATGTGGGGTGTGAGGATCTCAGGTGGCCAAGGAGCCAGAGGGGCACAGGGTTTGAAGGGTAACAACTGAGGGAAAGTGGGGCAAGGTCAAAACTGTGTGGACAGAGGAGGCTAGGAGCTGGATCTGGAAGGGTTGGAAACAAGGAAAGGATATGGAGTCAGGGAGAGGTTAGTAAGGGGGAAAGAGACAAAGGGGTCAGAGGTCAGGGTCTCACCGCATCTAGCAGGGTCAGCTGTTCGGCCAAGTGGTCAGCGAGGAACACCAGGACATCCGTGGGGTCAGCAGGGGGATCGCCGGGGAGGGCCAGGGGCTTAGGAAGGTCGGGGGCCTGGGGGTCCACCCGGGACCGGAGGTTGCGGATGAGGTCAGCGCTGCCCCCCCCAACACCCTCCCCTGCTGCATACCCTGTCCGAAGCAAGAAGCTCTCAAGCCGGTCAAGCTGACCCTTAACCTCAGAGCCAAAATCCTCAGGGTGAGAGGCCAGCCAGGTTGACAGTACAGAGATGGCAACCCTGGGAGAAGGGGAATCACCCAGGAGTCAGAGGTCAAGCTGCAGCTCAGTCAGAGGGGACTATGAGGTTAAGAATCAAGGTCACCTACCCTTTAGTCCTCTCTAGTTCATCAGTAGGATGAGACTCTAGGGCTTCCAGCCTGGGGAGAGAAAGAGATTCTATCCATCCATTTTTACCAGGCCTCCAATTTCACTATTTTGGTGGATATTTTGACTTCAGAAAATCCTGACACCTCCATGACCCTTGGTCTGTTACGACCCTGACCTGTCAGTCACAAGCCCTAGCAGAGCAGGTGTGGAGGTGAAAGCCCGGTGGGTGGCCAAAAAGGCTGATGTGAAGGTCATGTCAGCCCCTGATGTCCGGGAATCCAGAAGGTGTCTGACCAGGGCCTCCAGAGTGCCAGCTCGGAGCCTTCGGGAGGAACGTGGGGGGGGTGTTGGAGCCTAGGGAGACAGAGGGCCAGTCACCAACCCCTTCTTCAGTTCTGGCCCTAGATCTCTGGGGAAAATCCCAGAACTAGGAGATTATCCGGGCTCACTGTATTAAGATGGAGAAAGGATAAAAGATTTAGTCTAAGTCATACAGTGGAGCCTAGATCTCTACTCTTCAGATCTCCAACCCAGCACTCTGGCCAGAAAGTTAGCCAGAGGAAGGGGAACTGGAAGGTGATGGGTCAGAGATGAGAAGTCAAAGTTTTAATCTCACCAAGGGATCAAGAGGCCGATACTGACGGCTTGTGACAGTAAAGGTGGCACCATCCTCCTCCTCATCCCAGACAGACACAGGGGCCTGGAGGAGCAAGGAAGAGGTGATCAAACAGTCCCCACACCACTGCCCACTGCCCCCAGCCCTCACTCCCAGGCCCTACTCCTCCCTCTATACCCCTCACCTGTGGTGGCAGGGGACAGTACCAGCGAGTGCGAGGGGTGGGGGGGGCTGGTGACCCCAGGTCTCCCCCACTGGGGCCCAGACAGCCCCCCACAAGCCGCCTCAGGGTCCGGTGGAGCCGAGGGGGTGGCACTGGGGGTATAGGTGGTATGCAGGAACCCTGATCCTGGAGACCTCCGTTGCCCTTTCCCCCCAGAGCTGAACCCCCAGCACAGCAGAGAGGCAAGGTGCAAAGGGTAAAGGGAAAGCCAGAGAGGCAGAAAGCCAGAGCAGAGACCTTGAGAAGCTGAAACCTCAGTCACAGGCCCAGCCGCATGCTCCGCCTTCCCCCGCAGGAACTCGCAAAACCCAGTTAGTCCTTCCCCTTAGCCCCCTTTCCCCTAGTGCTTCAATCCTGAAGACCCCCGTCAAGGTGGTGGCTCAGATCCCAGAACAAGGAAGGAGAAGGGAAAGTGGGGATGGTAGGAGGTGGGGGGATTAGACTCTAGGAGTCACGTGGTCCCAGCCCCTCCCCCGACCGATCTCGAAAAACCAGCCCTGCCAGTCACCCTGCACTCACCCAGCCTCTGGACCCAGAAGTACAGGACCTCGGGCTCCCAAATTCAACTTCTCGCCCCTCCTGAGGCCTCAAATCCTACTCCTGGCCACCACTATTAGTCCCAGAGGAAAGCAGGTGACCACCCTCCAGTTCCCCCAGGACTGTCCCTTGGAGGTCCAAGAACCTTGGTTTCTCGCCCCTACCCATTGCCAGGAGGGCTGGGGGGAGGGGTCACGAAAACGCAGGGTTCCCTCCCCAATCCCAGAGTCAGAGGAGCCAGTTACTGTGGAAACAAACCCCTCCCCGCCAAACAAAAACAAGGAGGGAGACAGGGACCTAGACTTTGCCCAGAGAGGCAGGCACATTCAGGCATAAGCGAGGATGGCCAGGGACCCGCAAGGCAGATAGCCAGACGCTCCTGGCAGTAACGGGGCAGGCTCCTGAGGGCCGGTCCTGAGTCACACTGCCACAGAGGACCACAGAAACGCCGGGACTCCCCACAGCGGGGAGCCAGGGAGATACCCAGCAAGAGGCGCGGAAATAACGAGGCAGAAGAGAAGGGACAAGACACGGAAAGACAAATGGAGTCTCCTAAGCATATACCCCCCTACTTCCCACCACCCGCATCTCACCTCTTCTTCCTCCTCCTCCTCTTCCTCTTGCCCCCCGCCCACGCCCTGGCCACCTGGACCCCCACCCTCTTCGGGGTCTCGGCTCCGGAAGCTGCTCAGCACGACTCCCCCGGGGAGGCTCGTGTCCCAAAGCAGCCGCAGGGGCCGCGGGAGCATGGCCGAGTGAAGTAATCAGCGGGGTCGGGCCATGGGGGCGCCTGGGGAGAGACAGGAGGGGGCGCGGGGGGAGAGTCAGGTGGGCGCTGGGAGGCGAGGGACGCGGTGGGTGTCTGGGTAACCCGATGGGAGTCCTGCAGGGAGGCAGAGGAAGCAACACAGGGGTGGAATACTGGGGGCCCTGGTGCATTTAGATGAGGGGGTCAAGAGTACGGGAATGGGCAGGGTCATAGGGTGCTCTGGCTCTGACCTGCTCGGGAGGGGTGGGGGCCAGCGCGGGTCCCGGGCCGCTGTTCCCGTCGTCCTCCGGCCCCCGACCGAGTTCCCGGACTGAGTCCCCTCCCCGGCTTTTCCGCACCCCCCGTACCCCCCCGCAAGTCTCCCGGGCCCTTCCGCCCTTTCCGCTCTCCCCCACGTCCTCGCTCTCCGAGAGCTGGAGCCAAAAAGGGAAGGAAGTGAGGACAGGAGCCAGGGCCGCGGACTCGGGGAGCGCTGGACGCCCAGGGGCCGGAACCCAGGAACCCGGGTCCCCAGCTCCGTTGTTCCTCGCAACGCCCCCCTACTTGGGGATCTCGGATCCTATGTCGCCCTGTCCTGAGCTGGGATAAAATTACAGTTTCCTGCTACCGGGGGAGGACAGGAGCAGAACTGGCCATTCCCCATACCACAAGGCTAAAACTCCCGCGGGAAGCGTTTTAGGCTGGGAGGAACCCAGTCACTCCACCCCGCGGAGTTACGCTCCCCACCCCCACCCCCAAGTGTGGACCCCTGAAACCCGCTCCAGGTTTTCGGAGGCGCCCTCTGCTCCCGCCTTGTCGGAGCAGGGGGGCGGAGCAGGAAGCCGCCACATCCGGTTCCCGATTCGGCTCTCCCGGGTTTCCGGCGCTCGAATCCTGGATCCCCGCTCTCTCCTGTTGTCCCTGGGGAACCCGCTGCTTGAGGGTATCCTGCCCGCCATTAGTGGCACCGGGTCCCAAACTGTTTCGAAGGTGTATCGGCTGCCGCCATGGCGTTTGAGAGGTCGTAGTAATTGGAAGGCACCAGAGGTGACTGGAAGTCGTGCTTGGCAAGGAGAGCCCTGGGGTAAAATGAGACACCCTGCTGGAAGCACTGAAACACTTTATTCCCACACGATTAGATCCGCTCCCCGCATGGGTCTGGCTGACCGTTCTGTCCCTCGGCGGTCCCTAAGCCGAGCAGCCGCATCCTTCCAACAGGTATTTGGTCCAACACCGGTTTCTAAATACTTAGGAAGAATACTCTTATTTCTTATCTTGAGCGCCCTCCAGTGGGCGCCCGGTCCTGTGCCGGCGCAGGGGCTACGGCAGTGGGCAGACGGTGCGGAGAGGAGACGCGTTTAACTACTCGCACAATCACGTAAATACAACAGTGGTGAACCGCGCGAGATGGACTCGCGGCGGTCTGAGGGGGGGAATGGCGGGGCTGACCTGGTCTGGAGCCCAGGAAGGCCGTGGGTGGATTAGGCAGAGGTAACAGAGCTCTGGCTCTGGTACCCGCGGAGGAAAGGAGTAGCCGCGCTGAGCATTGACAAGAGGGTTGGAGGGCACCAGGCGAGGTTGGAGAGAGAAGCAGTGGCTGGAGCGAGGGAGAATGGATTAGGCCTCTGCAGCACTGGTTCTCCAATTGTGGTCTCTGTCCCAGAGGACCTGAGACTATTTCAGGGGGTATGCAAAGTTCAGACTATTTTCATAACAGTACTAACATGTTTGACTTTTTCATGCTCATTCTCTAAAAAATGTATAGTGGCGTTTTCCAGAAGCTTCATGAAGTGTATTGACATTGTCATCACAGCTAATGGGATCTATGTTTTGTGTATGCTTGTCGTTTAAATTTTTCTCAGTTTTAAGTAAGAGTATAATAAATATGTACAGTTCATAACCCACATAAGCAAAAGTTCTCTAGAGTCCCTGACAATTTTTAAGAGGTCCTGAGACCAAAATTTTTGAGAACCACTACCCTACAGCTCTGAGAAGGTGAAAGCAATAGATTTGTGTTTTAAAAAAACATTCCAATCACTCAGTGGAGAGAGATTGAGATTGAAGGGAACAGGAGCAGATGATGACAGTGGTGTTTGGGGGAGCTACTACAGTAGCTTAGATCTGAGATGACAGTGGCTTCCCCATGATGGTGGTGGGTGTCCTCACTGTGTTTCCTGGAAGAGAAGTAAAAAGGTAAGGAATTCCGGGTTTTAAAAAATGGGGTAAAGTGCTCATGGTTGACCCAGAGATAAGTGAAAACCATCATGGGCAGAAGAACAGGGCAATATTTTCTGTGTGCTCTCTCCCTAGTAGACACTATACCAGGTGCTTTTCCTCCTGCATCTCCCAAAGGAGATGGACTATCACCTTTAATCCTCCCAATAGCCCTCTGAGGCTCTACTGTCCAATATGGTAGCCACCATCCACATATGTCTATTGAGCATTTGAAATGTGGCTAGTCTGAATTGAGATGAGCTGACACTTTAAAATATACACCTGTTTTTTAAGACTGAGGACAGAAAAAAGGATTAATTTCTTATGTTGATTACATTGAGAAATGTTAATGGATATTAGATTAAATCAGGTACATTATTAAAGTTAAGTTTATCTATTTCTCTTTACCTTTTTAGTGTGGCTACTAGATTATTTAAACTCATGACAGCAGCCTAAGAAATTTTTTTTATCCTTACACCCAAGGAAACTGAGGCATTGTTTAAGTAGCATGTTCAGGGCATCAGGAGTTAACCTAGGTCTGTATGAATTCCAAGCTGGGATTCTGCCACAAGGCCAGCAGCCTCCCTCCAGTGATGAGTTGCGGGGAGGGGATAAAATGAGAAGGGAAAGATAAGGGAAGATGGAACCTGTTACCTTCTCCTTTGAATCCTTGGAAGTGGACTGGTAGGCAACTGTGGAGAGAGATTGAAGAGGGATGGGATGGAGGAGTGGTAGGGCTGAGGGATGGGTGTCAGATTTCTGGGAGTAGGTGGGGAATGTTGGCCAGTGGAGGGTCACAGTCTGGGTAGGGCTCACACTCACCGACCCAGCCCAACATCTTGATGAACCCAAGGAGGAAAAAGGCAGACAGGAAGATGCTAACACCATCCTCCAGAGAGGGTCCAGAAAGACCTGGCAAGTGGAGGGAGTGAGGGTGGGCCCCATGGTATCTTCCCAGGCGCCCCCAACCCCCCCTTCTCTGTTCTGGCTTTTACCTGCCAGCTCTAGGGTGACTTTGGCGCTGCGCCCTGAGGCGGGCAGGCTGGGGTGGTGGACACGACAGGCGTAGCGCATCCCATGATGCTTGGCGGTGACAGGGAGTGGCTGCAGGTGCCCTGAGATGCTGACAGAGCCATCAGAGTGGTGACGCAAGGAGGAGAGCCACCTCTGCCCCTCGGCCTTCTGAAAGCTGCCCTCAGGGCCACCCCAGAGCTCCCACTCCACCTCCAAGCCCTCAGAGGGGTAGAAGTGGGACACCAGGCACAGCAACTCTGGGGGTGCCTCCCCAGGGGCAGCCCATACAAGGGGTGCTGGCATCAAGGACACTTTGGGGGACTCTGGAGAGAGAGTAGGAAAGGAGCATGGGGAGAATCAATCTATATTGTCCTCAGAGACCCTTAGTTTGCCCTTTGATTCCCCAAAATGGAGTTTTGGGTTTTTTCTCAGTGGGAAATCCACTGTCTCCCTATTGGTGTTTCCCAGGAATCCCCATGCCAAAGCCTCCAATCTCAGGGACCCCATCCCCTCAGATTTAGGAGCCCTTATCCCAAAGCCCCCCGATTCACAGGGACCCTCCACCTATTATCTTTCTGACTCCTGAGGATCCCAATCTCTCCCCCCACTTACCCAGCACCCTCTTCACTATGGTATCCCCATAATCTCAGTGTCCACCCTGTACTGGTGGGGAGCTCTGTCCCTCCACTCACTCTGCACAGCAAGTTTCACAGTGGCCTGCCCTTGCAGGTATGGCAGGTGTATAGTGGCCAGATAGACGCCCTCTTGGAAAGGCCTCACTGCAGGCAGCCAGAGGGTCCCATTTCCGGTCCACGGACCCCACGGTTCATCATCATCCCAAGCAGCAAATGCCACTGCCCCCTCTCGGGCAGTTGGCATTTGCCCACTCAGCCCAGGAGTTGCAGCCAGGAGCAGGTGCCCCTTACCCAGGTACTGGCGTCGCCACTCCAGCCCAAAGGGAGGGGGACCTGGGGCCAGAGATGTGGCCTTGGAGGTGGGAGGCATGTAGGCAAAGCTCAAGTCCAGTAGCGCATCTTGTCCTAGTTGAATTCGAGGAGTGTGGGTATGGGTGAGGACAGTCAAAACAACTGGGGAAGATGGGGAAAAAAAGGATTGGGAGGGGCATGAGGGAGAGAAAGAGACAAAAAATAGAGAAATGGAGTTACAGGGAGGACTCAACTCCAATTTAACCACTCCTTGGAGGACACCTTTTCTGAAACCATTTCCCAGCCCTCCCTGCAAATCCTCTGTTCTCTGGATATGGGTGAGTCCCAGTTGCGGCTGAGAGTGAGAGAGAGGTCTAGAGGTGAATGGGGCAGTGAATGGGTATAGCCTTGAAGGCTGGTCTGAACACCACCATTTGAGCTCTGGGGACAGCAGGATCTGAGTATGTTTCTGACACAACCTGAACCAGTCCAACCTCCATGCACAACCTTTGAAGATGCAGGTCTTTTTTTGTTTTCTGGCAAAGAGAGCGATGACTCATGACTGTCAGTCCTATGGTGCTATACAGAGTATTTACTGACTCTGGAAGGTTCTGGCTCTTCCCCAGACCTGAACACAGATTGCTATGTTCCACTGAGGCAGTGTATGCCAGTTAAGTGTCTGGAGCTCTAATTAAACCCTCCTCTAATGTTATTTATATGACCTCGGGCCAGTTACTTCACTTTTCTTTAGCTCAGCCTCCTAATCTCCTACATATGGATAATAATGATGAAAATAGTACCTATCTACTGCAGTAACAGTTAAATAATTTAATACCTCTTGCTGCCCAGATTTATTCAGTTCCTGACTGTGGATAACAAAGACACCTATATATGAAAGGTACTTAGAACAGTGTGCAGAATACAAAGTCTACAAAAGTATTTGCTCTGATTATACCTAAGCACCTGTCTGGCCCACAAATTTAACATACACCATCTCAATAGCACCTCTGCAATACTCCCCTCCCTGCTCCAGTGCCTGTCTTCCCTGCCTTGATGAATGAACACCACCAGCCACCCAGACATTAAAGGCAAACACTTGGAGTCAAGTCACTAAGACTTCTTCCTCTCATTCATTCAGCTCACATTTATTGAGCACCTATGATGTTCAAGGTAGAGGACAGAGTGGTGAATGAGACAGTCTCTGCCCTCAAATTTCTTAGTCTAATAAGGGAGATAGACAAGCAAATTGTCAAATAAATATAATGTGCTATGTGCTATCCTCACCAGGCCCTGGGTCTATGTTCCAAAACAGATCTTCTATCAGTTTCCAACTCAAGTTCTTATCAAAGTACATTTGGACAATTACAAGAGCCTCCTCTCTGGTCTCTCTTTTCTCAGTCTATCTCTCCTTCACTTCATCCTCCACACTGTTGCCAAACAGGTGGCTGTCTGCAAGTCTGATTTGGTCACTTATCTGTTTAAAAGTCCTGGCTACCTAGGAAGCCAGCAACTAAGGGCACAGGCTGGAACTAGAGGGCCTGGTTTCAGCTCCTAGCCCTGCTTCTTACAAGCAGGGCAAGTATCCTAATTGCCCAAGTGTGTCTCAGATTTCTTTCTCTCTGACATGTGGGAAATAGCAGTACCTACCTCCTATGGTTGTTGAGAGGAATAAATGGAATCATACCTATAAATGCTTAGAACAAGACCTGACATATAGAAAATGTTCAATAAATGTTAGGTGTTACTATTTCATTATCACCACTTCCACCATCTTCATCATCATGGACTTGCTATATTGACAAGAGGGTTGGAGGGCACCAGGCGAGGTTGGAGAGAGAAGCAGTGGCTGGAGCGAGGGAGAATGGATTAGGCCTCTGCAGCACTGGTTCTCCAATTGTGGTCTCTGTCCCAGAGGACCTGAGACTATTTCAGGGGGTATGCAAAGTTCAGACTATTTTCATAACAGTACTAACATGTTTGACTTTTTCATGCTCATTCTCTAAAAAATGTATAGTGGCGTTTTCCAGAAGCTTCATGAAGTGTATTGACATTGTCATCACAGCTAATGGGATCTATGTTTTGTGTATGCTTGTCGTTTAAATTTTTCTCAGTTTTAAGTAAGAGTATAATAAATATGTACAGTTCATAACCCACATAAGCAAAAGTTCTCTAGAGTCCCTGACAATTTTTAAGAGGTCCTGAGACCAAAATTTTTGAGAACCACTACCCTACAGCTCTGAGAAGGTGAAAGCAATAGATTTGTGTTTTAAAAAAACATTCCAATCACTCAGTGGAGAGAGATTGAGATTGAAGGGAACAGGAGCAGATGATGACAGTGGTGTTTGGGGGAGCTACTACAGTAGCTTAGATCTGAGATGACAGTGGCTTCCCCATGATGGTGGTGGGTGTCCTCACTGTGTTTCCTGGAAGAGAAGTAAAAAGGTAAGGAATTCCGGGTTTTAAAAAATGGGGTAAAGTGCTCATGGTTGACCCAGAGATAAGTGAAAACCATCATGGGCAGAAGAACAGGGCAATATTTTCTGTGTGCTCTCTCCCTAGTAGACACTATACCAGGTGCTTTTCCTCCTGCATCTCCCAAAGGAGATGGACTATCACCTTTAATCCTCCCAATAGCCCTCTGAGGCTCTACTGTCCAATATGGTAGCCACCATCCACATATGTCTATTGAGCATTTGAAATGTGGCTAGTCTGAATTGAGATGAGCTGACACTTTAAAATATACACCTGTTTTTTAAGACTGAGGACAGAAAAAAGGATTAATTTCTTATGTTGATTACATTGAGAAATGTTAATGGATATTAGATTAAATCAGGTACATTATTAAAGTTAAGTTTATCTATTTCTCTTTACCTTTTTAGTGTGGCTACTAGATTATTTAAACTCATGACAGCAGCCTAAGAAATTTTTTTTATCCTTACACCCAAGGAAACTGAGGCATTGTTTAAGTAGCATGTTCAGGGCATCAGGAGTTAACCTAGGTCTGTATGAATTCCAAGCTGGGATTCTGCCACAAGGCCAGCAGCCTCCCTCCAGTGATGAGTTGCGGGGAGGGGATAAAATGAGAAGGGAAAGATAAGGGAAGATGGAACCTGTTACCTTCTCCTTTGAATCCTTGGAAGTGGACTGGTAGGCAACTGTGGAGAGAGATTGAAGAGGGATGGGATGGAGGAGTGGTAGGGCTGAGGGATGGGTGTCAGATTTCTGGGAGTAGGTGGGGAATGTTGGCCAGTGGAGGGTCACAGTCTGGGTAGGGCTCACACTCACCGACCCAGCCCAACATCTTGATGAACCCAAGGAGGAAAAAGGCAGACAGGAAGATGCTAACACCATCCTCCAGAGAGGGTCCAGAAAGACCTGGCAAGTGGAGGGAGTGAGGGTGGGCCCCATGGTATCTTCCCAGGCGCCCCCAACCCCCCCTTCTCTGTTCTGGCTTTTACCTGCCAGCTCTAGGGTGACTTTGGCGCTGCGCCCTGAGGCGGGCAGGCTGGGGTGGTGGACACGACAGGCGTAGCGCATCCCATGATGCTTGGCGGTGACAGGGAGTGGCTGCAGGTGCCCTGAGATGCTGACAGAGCCATCAGAGTGGTGACGCAAGGAGGAGAGCCACCTCTGCCCCTCGGCCTTCTGAAAGCTGCCCTCAGGGCCACCCCAGAGCTCCCACTCCACCTCCAAGCCCTCAGAGGGGTAGAAGTGGGACACCAGGCACAGCAACTCTGGGGGTGCCTCCCCAGGGGCAGCCCATACAAGGGGTGCTGGCATCAAGGACACTTTGGGGGACTCTGGAGAGAGAGTAGGAAAGGAGCATGGGGAGAATCAATCTATATTGTCCTCAGAGACCCTTAGTTTGCCCTTTGATTCCCCAAAATGGAGTTTTGGGTTTTTTCTCAGTGGGAAATCCACTGTCTCCCTATTGGTGTTTCCCAGGAATCCCCATGCCAAAGCCTCCAATCTCAGGGACCCCATCCCCTCAGATTTAGGAGCCCTTATCCCAAAGCCCCCCGATTCACAGGGACCCTCCACCTATTATCTTTCTGACTGCTGAGGATCCCAATCTCTCCCCCCACTTACCCAGCACCCTCTTCACTATGGTATCCCCATAATCTCAGTGTCCACCCTGTACTGGTGGGGAGCTCTGTCCCTCCACTCACTCTGCACAGCAAGTTTCACAGTGGCCTGCCCTTGCAGGTATGGCAGGTGTATAGTGGCCAGATAGACGCCCTCTTGGAAAGGCCTCACTGCAGGCAGCCAGAGGGTCCCATTTCCGGTCCACGGACCCCACGGTTCATCATCATCCCAAGCAGCAAATGCCACTGCCCCCTCTCGGGCAGTTGGCATTTGCCCACTCAGCCCAGGAGTTGCAGCCAGGAGCAGGTGCCCCTTACCCAGGTACTGGCGTCGCCACTCCAGCCCAAAGGGAGGGGGACCTGGGGCCAGAGATGTGGCCTTGGAGGTGGGAGGCATGTAGGCAAAGCTCAAGTCCAGTAGCGCATCTTGTCCTAGTTGAATTCGAGGAGTGTGGGTATGGGTGAGGACAGTCAAAACAACTGGGGAAGATGGGGAAAAAAAGGATTGGGAGGGGCATGAGGGAGAGAAAGAGACAAAAAATAGAGAAATGGAGTTACAGGGAGGACTCAACTCCAATTTAACCACTCCTTGGAGGACACCTTTTCTGAAACCATTTCCCAGCCCTCCCTGCAAATCCTCTGTTCTCTGGATATGGGTGAGTCCCAGTTGCGGCTGAGAGTGAGAGAGAGGTCTAGAGGTGAATGGGGCAGTGAATGGGTATAGCCTTGAAGGCTGGTCTGAACACCACCATTTGAGCTCTGGGGACAGCAGGATCTGAGTATGTTTCTGACACAACCTGAACCAGTCCAACCTCCATGCACAACCTTTGAAGATGCAGGTCTTTTTTTGTTTTCTGGCAAAGAGAGCGATGACTCATGACTGTCAGTCCTATGGTGCTATACAGAGTATTTACTGACTCTGGAAGGTTCTGGCTCTTCCCCAGACCTGAACACAGATTGCTATGTTCCACTGAGGCAGTGTATGCCAGTTAAGTGTCTGGAGCTCTAATTAAACCCTCCTCTAATGTTATTTATATGACCTCGGGCCAGTTACTTCACTTTTCTTTAGCTCAGCCTCCTAATCTCCTACATATGGATAATAATGATGAAAATAGTACCTATCTACTGCAGTAACAGTTAAATAATTTAATACCTCTTGCTGCCCAGATTTATTCAGTTCCTGACTGTGGATAACAAAGACACCTATATATGAAAGGTACTTAGAACAGTGTGCAGAATACAAAGTCTACAAAAGTATTTGCTCTGATTATACCTAAGCACCTGTCTGGCCCACAAATTTAACATACACCATCTCAATAGCACCTCTGCAATACTCCCCTCCCTGCTCCAGTGCCTGTCTTCCCTGCCTTGATGAATGAACACCACCAGCCACCCAGACATTAAAGGCAAACACTTGGAGTCAAGTCACTAAGACTTCTTCCTCTCATTCATTCAGCTCACATTTATTGAGCACCTATGATGTTCAAGGTAGAGGACAGAGTGGTGAATGAGACAGTCTCTGCCCTCAAATTTCTTAGTCTAATAAGGGAGATAGACAAGCAAATTGTCAAATAAATATAATGTGCTATGTGCTATCCTCACCAGGCCCTGGGTCTATGTTCCAAAACAGATCTTCTATCAGTTTCCAACTCAAGTTCTTATCAAAGTACATTTGGACAATTACAAGAGCCTCCTCTCTGGTCTCTCTTTTCTCAGTCTATCTCTCCTTCACTTCATCCTCCACACTGTTGCCAAACAGGTGGCTGTCTGCAAGTCTGATTTGGTCACTTATCTGTTTAAAAGTCCTGGCTACCTAGGAAGCCAGCAACTAAGGGCACAGGCTGGAACTAGAGGGCCTGGTTTCAGCTCCTAGCCCTGCTTCTTACAAGCAGGGCAAGTATCCTAATTGCCCAAGTGTGTCTCAGATTTCTTTCTCTCTGACATGTGGGAAATAGCAGTACCTACCTCCTATGGTTGTTGAGAGGAATAAATGGAATCATACCTATAAATGCTTAGAACAAGACCTGACATATAGAAAATGTTCAATAAATGTTAGGTGTTACTATTTCATTATCACCACTTCCACCATCTTCATCATCATGGACTTGCTAGATATCTTGGGAAAATCTTTTAATCTATACTTTCCTCAGTCTAATGTGACCCTTGCCTGCCTTTCATAAGAATCAAGTAAAATAACAGGCTTTCAGGAAAAATGGCATACACACAAAAAAACTTTTTATGGTTTACTATCACCTATAAAGCCCAGCCTTCAAGGTACTTGGTAACGTAGCCCCCAACCCTCCTTTCCAGACCTTTCTTGTAGGTCTGGAAGAAAGGTCTGGAAGGGTTCCGCATAAGAACAAGCCACATAGAATCCCTTTCTTGAGATAAGTAGGAACTCTAATCATTGGGCGTTATTTTTACTTTGTTATGTTCCTTCAGATTGTAATCTCCCTCCCCATTTTCTCCTAAATCTAAATACTCCATGGCCTTCAAGGTCAGTTCCACTGCTACTTCCTCCCAGAAATACCCTGATCCTCCAGGTACTAGTAATCAGTTTTCTCTTCTCTTGTGATTCAACTTCTCTCAACCCCGTGGGATTGTTTTTGTTCAATAGAGTAAAAAATTTCACTTAGTTTGTCAAAATCCAGAAACATACTTTTGAATGGTTAAAAACAATTGACAGGATTAATAAAGCTAAAGGTTTTACAGTTTAACCCTAAGGCAACAGTGCTCTTTAATATGGGTTATTGAAGCAATTTTAGACCTGCATTCCATAAATTGGACTCTATAAGATACAAATGTGAATACAACAGGGCCAGAATAGTAGGAAAATTTCTACCTATTTTTGCAGCTTGAACTATATAGGTTTTTGATTTTCTGTTAAAAAAAAGTGTATGGTAACAACTATTATAAAGTATTACTGGAAAATTTTAAACCAAAATCTAGTGAAGCCTCTAAATCTAACTACCAATTTATAGGAAATATGGAGGAAAAAAGGGTCAAGAGAAATGGCACAATGGAGAAACAGCTGGCCAAATACAGAATGTAGGAAATTCTACAGAACAAATGACCCATTCACTACCATTTTAAGGGAGTAGCAGATGCAATGATAGAATAAAAGAGACTTAAGAGTCAAAACTGGTAGGGACTGAATGTCTGTGTTCCCCCATCCCATTCATATATTAAAGCCTTAATCCCCAATGTGACTATATTAGGAGATAAGGGCCTGTAAGGAGGTGATAAAAGTTATATAAGGTCATAAAGGTAAGGCCCTAATCTAATAGACCTGGATGCCCTTATAAGAAGAGGAAGAGACATCAGAGCTCTCTCTGTCTGCCATGTAAGGACACAGCCACAGGTAGCCCCATCTGCAACCACAAGGGGAGAGCTCTTATCAGACACAAACCCTGCTAGCCCCCTGATCATGATCTTGAACTTCCAAGGCCCAGAATTGTGAGAAAATTAAATGTATTGTTTGAGCCACCCAGTCTATGATATTTTGTTATGGCAGCCCAAACAGATACAACAACCAAATACTATATATAGACTTGTTTTTGATCCTGATTCAAGCAATCAGCTCTAAAATAACATCAGTGAAACAATCAGGAAACTTTTTAAAAATTAAATATTAAGGAATTATTGTTTATTTTGTTAGGTATGGTAATGGCGTGGGATTTTTAAGTTCTTATTTAATAAAGATGCTTACTGAAGTATTTGTGAGTAAAATAATATGATGCCTGGGATACACTTTAAGACACTTCAAAAAAAAGCAGGTTGGGGAAGAATTGGTGAAACAGTTTGGTAAAATGTAATAACTATACAAATGGGTGATGGGTATATGGGTAGTAATTTTACTATTTGCTCTCCTTTTGTATATCTTTGAAATTTTCCAAAACAATGTTTTAAAAGATGATGAGATTTAAATGCCATACACACAAAGTATGTTAAGAAAGTACATTTGTCAATGAACATTTTAAAGTATTTGGTAAGAAAGAATGTATAAATGTTTATTAACAAAATTATCAATGATCTGTGACACTAGAAATATTCCATTTTTAATCTTACATTAAAACAATAATTTTCATTTTCTTAAATCCCTAATCAAGCAGAAGCGCTTAGCAAGAAGACTGAGAACAGCAACCAGTTTTTACCCCAGTGGTCTGTGAGACAGATAATTTTCCACCTGGGTGTTCCTGTGGCTCCCTATCTGCACTTCTTTAATGGCCCAAGTTGCTGTCTAATCTACATTACAATTATCCAGGACACATCTGACAAGAATCTTCTTCAGAGCAGAATCTATGTCTCATCACCTTTGTGACCCTTGAAAGTGCCCAGGGCCACTACAGAGATTCTTATTTAATTTGCCAGGAGTGGGACCCAGGTTCAGTATATTTTAGAAATTTCCAAGAGTATTCTTATTTGCAGCCTGGACTGAGAACTGGAGGGCCCTAATTTATTCTTGGTGCTAATAAATATTTATTGCATCAGTGAATAAATTAACCAAGTGTCTCCCTCGATAGTCACAACAGAAAGGCAGATGGGAAAGATCATCCACATTCCATAGTTAGAGAAACAGACTCAGAGGGAAAAGGATATTCTCTCCCCCACCTCAGTGAAGCCAGCAGCCCTGGGAAATACTCTTCCCCCCTGGAGAGAGCTACTGACCTCAGAAGGAGCAGTTTGCCTCTGCCCCTGCTTAGGCTGGGGTCTGGGGACTAAGAATGGAAAAGCAGGGCTGAGTCTGTTTCCCTGGTCCTGTGGGTGATACTCTCAGTGAGGAGGGTGGCAGGGAGGAGGTACTGGGGAAAGAAGGGCGCAGGGCTCGGCTGGGGTCAGACTGTGCTGTTTACATAATAAAATCGCATACGAATGGGGGTAGTAAGGACTTTACTCATATCCTACTCAAGAAGGGAGAGCTCCTAATCTCCATTCTTGCTCTACCCACCCACTCGTTCACCTCGCCTGAGCCCAGCAGTGTCTACCCCGTGTAACGCGCGTAACAGGAGGTAATAAACGAGGTTCTTGCAGTAGGAAACCATCAGGCATCCGGCAGTGTCCCTCCCACCTACTCGAGCCCACCATTTGGCGACCACAGTCAGCGCATCCTCCTGCGTCAAAAGGGAAGGGGCTGTCAGGGGAAATCAGTGACCTTGAGCGCGAGAGCCTTGTGGGCGCGGTGTGGGGGTTCAAAGACTGGTTTTTTGAAACATGGTGAACCGCAAAGGTGCCTAGATCAGAGATCTGGCAGGAGGGCTGAGAAAAGTTCTGGCTTCTGAGCATCTTCCAACCCACCTCCCAAAAACTTTTAAGGTCTGGTATCGGGAAACCCTGCCTCTCTCCATAGTTCCGCCCTTCAGAACACCATGAAGCCCTGCTCCCAACCAGCAAAGGTGGGGTTTTTTTGTTTTTGTTTTTGGGCGGGGCTAGAAGAAGCGGTAGAGATAGACTAATTCCAGCCCTACTGCCTCGCTTTACAAATAGGGAAACTGAGCCAGACTGGGGAAATGACTGGCTCAAGTCCAGGTGGTGAGTCAGAGGCTCATCTGGACCCTTACAATCTACCCATACGTGTCCACTTCCCCTGCCCACCTACCTGTTGCCATGGTGATGAAAGCAGGCTCGGGCTGAGGCTTCGGCTGTATCTGCAGGAGGCTGGAGAGGCTGAGGACTGGGCTGGACATGCTGACCATGAACCAAGTCCCGTCCAGGGCCCGTGGGCAGCTCTGCTCCGGGGTCAGGCCGCTGGCCCAATTCGCGGAGGCGGGGAGCGGGACGTAGTGGCTCATCTCGCAGTGTGGCACAGAGACGTCCGGGGGATACCGCCTGAAGGCCGCCTGGAGGGATCCCGCACCATCTGTGAGCGCGGAGAAGGGAGCTGCAGCTGTAGTCACAGCCAGGAAAGGGGCACGGAAGGCAGAGTCCAGGGAATTTCAAACTCACACACTATCCGGTAGTGAGAGCTTTAGAGGTAATCCGGGTTTATTTTACACTGGGGGAAACAGGCCCGAGGTCACTGCGCGACCTAAAGAAAAGGGGGTTGGTGGAGGCGACAGAGTTGGGGGCGAGTCCGGAATGACTCACCATGCACTTTGAGGTAGAGTTCGGGATCTAAGTCCGGCCGAGGAGGTGGGCTCCCCGGGCCCTGGCGCAGCAGCAGTGCAGCGGGTCTCTTGGCCAGGCGGCCCTGGCCCACATCCTCCACCAACCAGCACTCTATCACTGTGGGGCCCGCTGAGACGGTGACCGACAGGCCTAGGGGAAAGGGATGCGAGTGAGGGGGCGGTCCAGATGTCAGATGACCCGACCTCCATCCCCTCCCAGCGTTGTTGAGCGCATGGTGGGGTCACCCCCACCCCTTTCTCCCCTTTTCCTAGGCTACGAGTTCCTCACCCAAAGTCATAGCGAGAAGCAAGGACTGGGGCTTCATGGCGCCGTTATTTCCTCAGCCCCGAAGCCTTCTCTTCCCCCTTTCACTTTCACTTTCCTTGAAAAGCCAGCAGGAGGGGCCAAGAAAATCCCCGCTCTGGTTAGGTGAGGGCATGCGGGAGGCAGGTGCTTCTCCCACTGACCGGACAGGGGATCCAGGAACAACCTCTCCATTTCTGGCCGGGGGACCTCAGCCCCGCCCCGCACTCCGGTACCACCCAGCACTACCGAGTCCCAGAGACCTCCCCAACTCTAGGCTCCTCCTGTCTTCTCCCCGCCAGAATCCACCTTCCCGAACACCAACACTCCGCCTTCCCCAAGTTGTGCCTGGCCCCAGCAAACACATAGGGGTTGTTAGGAAGCCAAGTGAAATGACCAATAAATACTTTAATCACCGTTTAAAAAAAATATGATTTAAAATAAAAACCTTGTACCCCTATGACTTACTCATTCCTCTCCATTCCCTCCGCAGTGACAGTACAGTTGGGGGTTGGGGGCAAGGGCTAAGGTAAAAATAAACAGCATACCCTTCAGGGGTTGGGGTAGACTTAGAATAAGAATAAGGGTGGGGCTCAAAGGCCTGGTCCCCACAACAACACAAACACAGACTTAAGGTACAGACTACAACCACCTAACCCTTGACTCTGCGACTCCAAGATGCTCAACAGGCCCCCTCTCTCTCCCCTCTACAACCTGTGCCCTACTCTGAAGCTGGGGCTTCAGTGTACCTGTCCGAGGGGAAGAAAGGGCCTAGTTCCGGGGATAGTTGGTGGGAAAGGGGTTTGAGGAGTGGAATGGGGTGGCAGATGGTGCAACGTGGTTCCCCCTCCAGAATATATACAAGTCCATAGAGATAATGGAAGACAGTAAGTGTGGTGGGAGATCAGCTGGGGACCACAGCGCCCCTGGCAAGTGCTCCCTACTCCCTCTTCCCTGAAAGCTACAGGGGGTAGCCGGTCCCTTCAGTTTGCTCCTCCGCCCCCACTGAAGCCTATCTCCACCTTGTGGACGCTGGATGGGGACAAGACCCGCCGGTTGGACGGGGGCGTGTTACCACAAGCCTCATCGCCGCTTCCCCCCCCCAGCCCGGGGGACTCTCTCTTGGGTGGCAAGTTTGGTCCCGTGGATCCCCCGGGTCCGGGTCCTGCCCCACCCCCGCCAAGGCGGTGACGACGCTCGCAGTGTCCCCGGTGGCGCATGAAGCTGTCTCGCCACATGAACTTCTTGGCGCAGACACCGCACTCGTAGGGCTTGAGACCTGTGTGCGTCTTCATGTGCTCGGTCAGGTGGTGCTTCATCTTGAACTTTTTGTTGCACACAGGGCAGTCAAAGGGCCGCAGGTTGAGGTGCATGTTTACATGCCGATCGCGCATGCTCTTGTGGGAGAAGGCCTTTCCGCAGTGGCACAGAAAGATCTTATTCCCATCTCCACCCCCTGCCCCTCCAGGGGTTCCACCAGTGCCAGAGGGCATGCCTGGGCCCCCTGCTGACGTAGGCCCCAGGGTCACAGCCCCGTGTTCAGCTTGGATCCCTGGCGGCTGAACTGGAGCCTGTGAGGAGGAGGAAGAGGAGGAGGAGGATGGGAAGACTAGGATCTGGTTGCCCTGCATGTCCAAGGGAGGTAGGGGCCGTGAAGAGTGGGAGGGAGCATAGGAGGAAGGGGTGGGTCCCCCTGAATCATCAAGCCCTGCCCCAGAACCCCCACCCTCATAAGTACCAAAGTCATTGGAGGACTCACAGAAATTGACCTGCTCCTCTCCCTTGTCCCGAGGCTCAGTCAGAGTCCGGACATCACTTATGCTAAGGGTAGCCTCAGGTCCTCCCCCTGCTGGAACCCTGGAGCCACCTCCCAGCTCTTCATCTTCATCATCCTCACAGGTCAACACCAGGTCTTCCTCCTCCTCTTCCAGATCTGGGTCTTGGGGAACCAGGGGTGCTGGTGCAGGGCAGCTTCCACCCCGCTTCACATATACCCAGTGTTTCTGTGGCATGATGCTGGGGGGTGCATAGGTGGGCCGACGGAGCCCAGCCCCAGGTACCACTGAACCCCTCCCATCCCCACCATCATCACACAGCTCATCTGCCTCCAGCAGCAGCTTCCCAGAGGTAGCTCCCCCACTACAGACCACAGGGGTTGGGAATACAGGGCCACTTCCTCGACGTTCCCCACTGCCCACTGCAGAGGCTGCAAATGCCTCTAGGGAGGAAGATGAGAAATCAGTGGACTCTCGGGGGCTGAAGTAGTTACTGCTGCTAGGGGACTGATTCTCACTGGCCCGGCTGGAGGCATGGGAGCGCACAGAGCCCATGGTAGCAGGGGCCATGGTGCTCCCACTCCCTGATGGAACCCCAGCACCAGGGACAGTGACCGAGGTGGCTGCAGCAGTGGTGATGGTGGTGGTGGCTGAAGCCCGGCCTTCACGGAGAAGTTCAGTGCACTTGTCCACGATGTGCCACATTTGGAGCACAGACCCCACTGTAAGGAAGTTAACAATGTCAGCAGCAGCCATGCTGAGGCGGCCAGTGTAAGCTGAAGCCAGGACAGTCTCGAAGGCTCCTGGGTCCATGACGCTGGGCAGCGAGATGGAGGTCATGCCCTTGAGTAGGACCTGGTCGTGGAAGTAAGGGGAGGAGGCAGCCAGGACAGCACGATGAGCCCTGAATTCCCGGCCCTGCACTCGGATGGATACATCACAGAGCTGGCCCTGTAGCCGTTGCTGGTTGAGGGACTCCAGGAGGGCACTGGTCACCTCAGGGAAGGACACGTGTACCACTGCAGCTGCAGGCAGGGGCAGTGGGGGCGGGGCCAGCGATAGAGGCAGGGGGAGTGCTGCCCCGCCAGGAGATAAAGGAGATGGCTCCATGGTGTGGAGGGAGGGGGTACCCCCCCAGCCACAGGAACAAGGGAAGAAGGAGGGCGGCCGGGGGGGTCTCTGGGAAAAAAAAGAGAGAAGAATGGTAACATCTCATAACAACACAGCTAATTACAGTTTAAAAACATGTTCACATGCATTATCTGAGTAACTTCTCGCAATACTGAGTTAGCAATTCCTCTCAATCCCATCTGACAGATGAGGAAACTGAGGCTCAGGAAGAGTAAGAGATTGTCCAAGGTAACACAGCCAGTAAGTGGCAGCGTCAGCAAACATAGGTGTCCTGACTGCAAATTCGGTGCTTTCCTTGAAGGTTAGAGAAATAAAGTGCTCTTGGGGTGTAGGGTTCCTCACCTTGTAATTTCCCATTTTCCTGAGAGCCTGACCTTCCAAAATTTACCTTTTTGGTGTCTGGCACTCTTTTTTGGGTAGAACAGGTCTTCTCTTGTACTGAAAACCAACCCTCTCTCCATTTCCCTTTAGGCTGTACCCCCACCCCCACCAATCTCTCCTGGGCCAGGACCCCTTTGCTCCCACTTATCTCTAGCCCCACCCTTTCAAGTCCCCTCCCCGTGGCCTTCAGACCCCGTCCCTTCAAGATCCGCCCCCGTGGCCCTTTCGACCCCGCCCCTTGTCTACCCCCACCCACGCAGGATCCCGCCCCCCTCTGCTCCGCCCCAAGAGCTACTTCAACCTCCTCTCCCACCCGGAAGGGGGCCCCCCAACCCCGCGCGTCCTCGCTTACCGGGCCGCGCGCCCCCGGGCCCCCCCCCGCCCCTCACTCGGCGGCCAGAGCCGCAGCCTCGGCCCCTCCCGCCGCCATCTTGCGCCGACTCCCTCCGCCCTCCGCCTCCGCTCCGCCTTCCGCCCCTCCGGCTTTAAAGGTACAGGCGGGCACCCCGCCCGTGCTGCTGGGCAAAACTAGGCCGACTTGGCCATTTCTCCTTTAAGGAACAGTAGCCTCAATCCTCTTTAAAGGTACCAGGTCTCTTCTGTTGCTGAGGAATCAGGACTTGGCTCTGCCAAAGCATTCATTCCCCTTTAATTCTGTAAGCCTGCTGCCTCTCATTGGCAAGGGTCTTGGCCTTCGCTGCCTAGGCTCCGCCTTTGAGCTGTGGCCATTAGCGGGTTTGCTGGGTGTCATCGCTAGCGTCTCCCAGCATCTGACAGTCCCTGAAGCCCCGCCCCCTTTCTACGGGCCTGGATTGGCCAAATATCCTTGAGTCAGCCCACCTGATTGGCTTTTTCACTCCAACTCGCTGTGAGCAAGTAAAGCGCGTGTAAGGAAGGAGTCTGAAGCACCAATTTTTTCGGTGCAGGGCATAGGCAAGCGGAAGGCCTGAGGGCGTGCAAACTCCCAAACAGCCTAGCTAAGGGCAGGCTAAAAAGGACAGATCCAGGGCTACCCAGGGCAGGGCTAACCCTGAGCCAGACGACAGCTGGTGCCAATTACTGACAGCAGAAAAGACAAGGAAAAGCCGGGGATACGATAAGAAAACTTTATTAATGTTTTTGTGTAAAACTTGTTTTGTTTTTTTAAAAGGAACACCACCAAAAGGGGATTAGATCAGTCCATCCCTTCCTCAGTCATCTGCTTCCCAACATCCTCCAAACACTATTCCAAAATATTCAGGAGGCAGGGAGTTGGGGGGAGGCAGTTAATCAGAGTCCGAGAGGACGATGATTTCCTCTGGATCGCACTGTGTAGCCACACTCATCTGCAGGGGGATGAGAGACAATGTCAGAGAGATCTGGAATATAGGAGAAGCAGAGGGAAATATTTATCAGAGATTAAAAATTGGGGTGAAGCAAAAGAGAGAGAGGATGTAGTGGGTGCAAGATCCAGACAGAGTGCCAGAAAGTGAACAGTGAAAGAGAATGACGTCAGAAAAAACTACCTCCCCCTCTTACCTTGTAAGTACCAGTCCGGGAGGGTTGTAACTGGGGGATTTGGGACAACTGGGCTGGATATGGGCTACAGAGGGAGCTGGTCACAAGGCCATGGCTTGGAGAATCCACCCTTGTCGAAGAATCAGCAACTGGGGCCATGGAAGCCAAGGGGGAAGGTGGTCTAGGCAGGGTATGTATCTTCTTCCCATTCTCCTCATGCACTGACCTTTGCCTTTCCACACAGCTAGGGACAGAAATGTAAATGTGTAGAGGTGTATGGCAAGCCTGAGGCTGGAGAGGTGTGCCAATCTCTCCCAGCAGATTCAATTCCTCAGTATTCCTCTCAGAAAGCCCCCTGAATCTCTCCTGGGCTTCCCACCTCCTCATTGTTGTTACCTGTTTCCTAACGGCCCTGCTCTTGCTTGCTGCTTCTCCTTCCGAGATTTCTTGCAAGGAGGACTAGAATCATCCCAGGTGTGAGGAGAAACACCTCCATTGAATGAAGTGGAGGTGACCACAGCTGCTCCGTTCTCCACGACAGTGGTGAAGGGGTCCTCTGACTGCTTCCTGGAAGAGGAAATGTCCCTCCCCTCGGGAGAAGGGGTGGTATCCATGGGCAAGGCTTCAATTTCTAGCTCAAAGAGCTGGGACATAGGGCTCTCCTCCTCCAGGGGCAACTCCCCGAGGTGTTCTCCACTGCCTTCAGCATCTATGCTGGAGGGGGCCAGGGGCTCTTCTGACAGTGAAGATGGTGACACTCTGAGTCCTTTATTTTGCTGCTCCCCCAAAGACCTGCTCATCCCTCTGCTAGTTTCCAGGTTCTTTTCAGTGGAGATATGTGGTGGGGACATGGGGCTATTGTCTCCATCTTCACCTGGAAAAGAGGGGGGAGGGGTAGCATGAGCACTAGAGGAAAGAATCCTGCTGAGAAGACACCAAGAACAAGAGGAGGAAGGGAAGAGTCTCAAACAGGTGGCTCAAGTCTGACAGAGTAGAGGGAACCGACACATGAGATTGTTTCCTTGACATACCTATTTCCTCCTCCTCCTCTTCATCGTCCCCCTGACCTTCCTGCATCTGTTCCAGGTCCTCCTCCTCTTCAGAATCTGTGGCCTCCTCCCCTTCTTCTTCCTCTTCCTCCTCCTCCTCACTTTCCTCATCTTCTTCATCATCTGTCTCAGCTTTGGAGGTGGTTGGGCACTCCTGGGATGCCATTCCACTAGGGCCCTGGGGGGCAAAGAGTTTCTCTAAGGAATCTCTTGCCCCAGAAGGTCTGGTTCCTGTGTTCCTTCTGCACACTCCCCCACCAATAACCATGGACTCCCTGCTGGCCAGTGCAGGGGAAGGACAAATTCTCTCTGAAGGGTGTACCCTTTCATACCTCACCAGACTCCAAGGAGGCTTTGTGGGGGTCTACAGAGTGGGAAGAGGTGGCTTGGGGGAGCCGGGTTCTTCTCTTCTGTCTCTCCCCTTCCTCACTCTTTTCCTGCATCATTGCGTATTTGGAGATGACCTCATCCAGCCGGCTCATAGCCAAGCTCCGGTTTTCCCTCAGGCGCCGGGCTAGGGCAGGATCTGATAGAGCTGGGTCAATGCCTATGTGGAAAGATATAAAGTCAGAGTACTCTTCAAACCCTATTAGAAGGGACTACAGAGATGCCCCCTCCACAACACACCAGACATGTAAGGGTTTTAGCATTTCACTAATCCTTACCTGGCCTATAGTCGTCTGTGAGGTGACAGCCAAAGTTGTAGATGAGGTCAAGGTGGCGCCGCTCCTGTAACCTGATGCCCACATCTCGGAAGGCATCCTGAGCCATGAGCTGGAGCTGCTGTCGGGGGAGGCCAAGGCTGTGCCGAGCAGCTGCTTTCTCTACAGCCCGCAGCACATCTCCATAGTCAGGGAAGGTGTCAGGCCCTGGCTTGTTGATGAGCCGCTCAATGCACCTGTTAACCTCTGGGTAGCGGGTGCCACGGTAGGGGATGCGCTGCTCTATGACACGGCCTGTCAGTGAAGAGCAGTCTTTCAACTCACACAACCGCCCAAAGAGATGGATCAGCTTACGCTTCAACCTTGCCTCCTGCAGGTATGTGGAGTCTGGGTCATCCAATTCTGAAAGCTCCAACTCCTTTTCCTGCAGCCGCCGGATCTCTGCCACATAGAGTGCTAGCAGCTGCTCCAAGCGCTGGATCTGCCGCCGAGAACCACGGGTCCGTGGGGCCTCAGAAGCAGTGGTCTCGGCATTTGTGGGGTCTGAGGAGGGGTCTATGGGAAAGTTATTTCCAGAGGATTCACTAGAGGTGGCAGCAGCAGGGGCCAGTTTCAGCTTCTTCTTGGCTGAGTGGGCCTTGAGAACAGTGCACAGCTCATTAATGTAGACATAGAGCTTAGCTGGCCGGTTCTGGGCCCTAGAAAGGACCCGAGAGAGGATGTTGCAGAACTCCGCCGAGGCCAGAAACAGAGAGTGGGCACGCTGCTGCCGGTTAGAGAGGAATGGGACCACTTCAGGGTGGTCTGCTGTCTGCGTCTTACACAGTTCAAGGAACTGGAAGGTTCGAGGGAGGATGGGAGGGGGTTGAGAGAAAGGTGAGGAGGGGTTAGTGGGGAAGAAAGGACAGGAGAGCCAGTCAACCATCCCCCTCCCTAGGGTACAAGAATCTTCTTCCCTACAGCTCACCTCTTCAAACAGCTTCTCATTCTCCAACTTGTAGCATTTCTTGCCGCCCGAACTACTACTTCCTCCGGCCCCATGGGGCTGGGAGGACCCAGGGGCTTCTGCCCGGGGTGAGGCCGGACTGGGGGGTGGGTGGGAGGGCCCAGGCTGAGCAGCTGGTTCATCTTCATCATCATCATCCAGCACAATGATGCTGTTAGCGGTGGCCATGGGGGATCAAATCCCCCGGAGAGAGGAAATGTTGGGGATTTCAGAATTCCTGCTGGAAGGGGATGGGCCTCAGAAAGAGCCCCTCCAGCATAGGCCCATCCCTTCACCTCACAGATTTTCCAGTCTTCTTGGGTTTTGCTAACACCCAGCCCTGCCCAACAGTGTCCTGGCTGCCTACCTTCAGCAACCGTTAGTACCATTTGCTTTCTGGGCCCTTTACTATGGGCGCCCCAAACCACCTGAAAACCTTAAGTCCCCACTCCCTGCTCCACCCCTCAATTCAATATCCGGTCTTTCAGTTGCCTTTCTCCACTAGGTCTTACAGTTGGACGTTGTTGATTCTTCCTCCCAACCAGTGGAACACCTCCCACACTGCACTCCATATTTCCTTGACATCCCCTCACACAGATACCATACCCCCGTCAGTACCACCTCACCTATCTTCCCCCTCACTCTCAAACACGTCAAATCCACACCCTCCCACCATCCTGAAGGAACACCCCAACTCCTTGACTCTGAGGCGAAGGAGGTTCCCTCCCAACAATCTATTCTCCTTTCTTCTTAGATTATCGCTATATTCCACCCTCTGGTGGGTCTCCTCAAACCCGGGCATTTGGTTGTTGATATTTCGCCCCAAGTCTCCTCCCTCTCACGCCACCCCACCCCAATTTTCCCCATTCTGTCTCTGTGACCTGTAACCGATCGTGAGCCCCGCACTGGGCTCTCCGATTCCTCTCGGATCCCAACCCTGAGTCCGGCCCCTTCCCCTTGATGAGCTTCCCGCCAAGTCCCCCTCCCCCGCTCAGCCCCCGGCCGCCCCACTCCCCTTCAGGGTACCACAGCTAGCCCCGCAGACTCAGCGCCCGGGACTCCCCAGTACCACTCCCTCGACATCCCCGCCCCCACCTCAGCTCCCAGCACTGTCCGACCCCCACCTCAGAAACGGTCTCTCATGGAGACCCTCGCCGCTGATCTCAGAATCGCATGGGTCCCTCCGTCTTCCTTACCCCTCCCACCGCAGGCCCTACTCCGGACCGGAAGCCGCAGTTTCCGCCTACAGACGACCAAGCGCGGCCATCTTGTCGTACGGCACCCGGTCATCCTGTGGCCGTTATAGTAGACCTGCCCCCCGAGCGCCCCCAGTGCCACCCACCTTGTCTGAGGCTCTGTGCCCCCGACCTGTAGGGGGCGGATCTGCCCCCTCAGTGAGTCCCCAGGTACCCAGGGGCCACCATTTTTGCCGTACGGCCTTGCCTACGCCCGGAGTCGGGCGCGCAGCTCGTGGAGCTCTTTTCACCCGGTGCTCCTGCGACTCCGCCAATCAGAAACTTCTTGCATCCGGCCCAACTGTCGGCGAGTCGCGTGCAGGGAGGACTGAGCCACCCTCCCAGGTAGGGGAGTCGGGGTGAACGGTACAGGTCAGCTAAGGAATTAGGCCCTCCAGGGCTGCGCAGGGGTGCACGGAAGGGCAGCTGTCTCCTACGAGGGAAGTAAAACCTTTCCTTCCGTTGGGCTATTGACAAGCCTTCCGGTGCTGCTTTTCTACCTGCCAGGTACCGGTTTCCACGGCTTAATCGAACGCGCCTGCCCCTTCCCATCTGCGGGCTGCGAGCTCCCTTACCTCTGTCCAGCAGCTGTTTCTGCATCCAGGGTTCTCCTCCATCACCCCAAAGTGAAATCATAAAATTGCATACAAATGAGCACAACACACTATACAAATGTATTGTTATTATTGCTGTTGTTGATTTGCTTTTCAAGCTCTTGGACAGAATTATTGACCAAGCAAGTAGGTGGTCTCCTCTGGACGAGGAGCAGGCGATGACCAGAAGGCCGTGCTTTGTCTAGAAGCTCTAGGGGCTGAGGTCTGGCGTTTGGGGGCGGAGGCTTTGAGGAGAATCTGTGTAAATTACCGCTGTGAGACCAAATGAGGCTAGTAAAATATCTCGGGTCTTGTCGCCTCTTCCTGTAGGAGCGCTGAGGAAAGAATGAAGAGAGAAGAAACAGACTTTGACGCGCGCCTCGCCGGCACCCTCACCTCGCCCTTTCAGGGAGGTTGGAAGGACTCGTGGAGTCAAGGATGGGTCCAAAGCCGAGCTTCTGGGAAAGCCGGAAAGGTTAACAAGATTCCAGTTGCTGAGGTTCCCTCCTCCTGGATGCTTGCGCATTCCGAAAATGGTGAGCATCTTGCCACTTTCGAGAACCACAGAGGTCCTTGTATCCACAAGCTCTCAAGAGTCCCAGAATCTCGAACCGTTCCGCACTACTTCTCTCGGTAGTGTAAGCCTACAGTCTTCAAATTTGGGAATATAAACACTTTCCAAAGGGTACTCGAATTTAGGAATATAAGGGATTTAATTTCCAGATCCTCAGATCCCAACTTTCCCCAAATTGGAGTTCCTGAGTAGAGGAAGCAGAGGTTCTACTTCTTTCCTCTCCCTTTTACAACACTTTCTCTTAAAAAAAAAAAAGTGTAGTTTCCAACTATGAAATCTCCTGGGGATAATCTTACTTTGTCTTCAGTAAAAGAGACATGTAGCCTATTTTTCATCCAGGTACCGTAAACACTACCTCATCTATTTTATTTAAAAATGTCCTTTTAATTTTTGACAATTAAATAAACGTGTACAATCATTATGCTCTTTGACCAATTCCATTCTCATAATAATTGTAATGATAACCCAGAAGAACAAAAATTTAACTGGAGTCCTAGGGTCACAATAAAAAAATATTTTTTTCATCTCAATTAATATATGTATTCAGGAAAGTATGCTAGGTTGGTCAATTCATGACTTTTAAATATAAAAGCATAAAATTGTGGGTAAGTGGAATGGTAATAGTTCAAGAAGAAAAAGAATGACTCTCAATCCTTAAGAATTTGTTTTTATATTAAAGGGATAATGGTTGTTATCAAGTCACTCTGAAGTTTTAACTCCCCTGGACATTCAAAAGTATGATTGATTTGTTTTATTTTAAAATGTGCATATTTTTGATAGCCAGAAATTCATCCTTGAAAAAATTTTAATTTATGATGAAAATTTTTAGATGCTTACTCTAAAATATGTGAGAAATACAAACTCTTTCAAAATTGTTTCCCAGAGTATAGTTGCAAAAATTTTAAGATGGCTGCTCTAAGCTATCCAACCGAGTGTCTGCTCCACAGTCCCCACCAGTCCCATTTCCCTCCTGTCTCCCCACTCACCTCCTTGGCAGGGAAAGAGGATGTTTATAGGAAAGGTTGTCACAATTCCAGCTCCTCCTCTTTCTGAGGTGTTCTCAGAAGCCAGTTCCCAAGCCTTGCCCATGGCAGCAGCCACAGCAGCTTATAAACAGCTTCCAGCATCAGTAGTGTCAGGATAAGGGCCAGGAAGACAAAGAAGGCCTTGTCCAAAGCCCTACACAGCGGGCCCCTGGGAGGAGAGGGACCCTGGGCAAATGCCAGAAATACATCCTCCTGGTCCACATCGGCCCCCTCCTCTGCCATAGTAACCCACAGTGTGGCAGCTGACTGGATCAGGGAGGCTGGGATGGAAGCCCTTACTCAGCAAGGCCAGGATTAAGGAGTGCGGATGGGGCAAGTCCTGCACCTGTCCGACTTGACACTAATTCCCCCACCTAAGAGAGAGAGGAGAAAAGAGCTTCTGCACCTTTGAAACAATCATTATCATCCAGTACAATGTGACTGGTCTGAATGAAAGGATTCCTAAAGTTTGTCCTCCACTAGTCTGTAATTCTGTTATTTGGCAACTGAAGGCCCAAGATGGAGATGTGAAAGCTGGAAGTGCTTGAGTCATTCTGGGTCTCTAGGCTCAAGGCTCAAGGTCTTGGACCCCTACATATAAAGGGTGAGAAAGTGGACTGTGAACCACCGTTAGTTAAGGATCTAAAGCCCATTGTGGCTTTACAGTGGGTGGTCCGAGTGCAGAGGAGGGCTCAACCAACCCAGGTGGGTGGGGACCAACAAAGGCCCTTTGGGGTCTGTGTTGGCATTGTTCTCTCCCAGATCTGCCGGCTGCCTGCCAATCCAGGAGCTGAAACCTATAGTGCTCTCTTCCTGATCTCTGGGCCCTATGGGGCCAGAGAATAATTATAATTGGACTGCAGGGGCTTAAGCTGAAGTTTTTAAAAAGAGAAGGACTGTGACTGGTCACCGGGGTAACAATGTGTACCTGGCACTTAACTGTTGGGAGACTGAGGGGTCCTGATTAGAGAGCTGCCAGTTGGGAATGTCGTCCAGGAAGCTGTCACTGGGCCAAGAGGTGAAGGCCTTTTTTTGACCCTGTTCCCCAGGTTTGACGGTCCATGAGGGAAAGTGAAGGGCATGTAGAGACCTGGGACCCCCAGGATAAGTGAGGCAGTGGTAGGGAGAGGTGGTGGCTATGGGAAGAAGTAGAGTGGCTAGGAGAACTCATACCTGGAGCCTTTAGGGTCTCTTACCTAACCTTCCTTTTGACCTTAATAGGAATACCTTGGGAGATAGTTCATGCCCAGAGGGGTACAAACAATGTCACAGTTTTGTTTAGAGTCAACTCATTATCATTTGCTGTTTCCACAAGAGAGTCACATTAGAAATTAAAAAAACCTGGGTCAGGGTTCATACTAATCTCTTGTGTGCTAAACTAAACAAGTGGGCCATTAGACCAAGGTGACTCTACTGCTGTGGAGGCCTCCATAAACAAACCAAAATCTAAGCCTGTAAGTGCCTCAAGGTTAGGAAAGTCAAAGGCTGAGAACAACCAATCACAAAGGGCCAACTAGGCTTTGAGCTACAGCCAATCAAGTAATTTCCTTTCTTTGTTTCTGTACTTTATATATGTATATATATGTATATAGTCTTTCCCCTGACTCCTGTCTGCAGAGTGCTCTTGAGCACTTCCAGTTTGGTGCTGCCCCACTGGAGTCATTTTTGCTCAAATAAACTTATAAAATTTGATATGCCTCAGCTGATCTTTTAACAGCTGTGTGAGTATGACCATGGCCAAGTCACCTCAACTTTCTTTAGTTTTTTATAAAATTGAGGAAACATCTTGCCTCACAAAATTATTATGAGGGACAAATGAAGTAATGTATTTTTTTGTAAATTATGAAACACTATGTAAATATAATGTATTAATTGCTGATGCCCTTACTTAATGTCTCAGGCTAGTTTTCAATAAGGCTGCACACCTCACAGTTTCTCCCCTATGGTAGGTTCAGCACCAAGACCTTGTGTAGTACATAAACCCAGCACCTTATTGAAATTTTTTAAAATTTTGAATTAATTTCAAACTTACAGAAAACATTTAAGAACAGTATCAAATTCTGTGGTATCATTCTCAGTCTGATTCCCCATTTGTCAATATTTGGCTATATTTGCTCCCTCTCTCTCAACTCCCATGTAACCATCTGTTATGGGTTGAATTATGTTCCCCTAAAATTCACATACTGAAGTCCTAACCCCCCAGTACCTCAGAATATTACCTTATTTTGAAATAAGGTCACTGAAAATGCAATTCGTTAAAGTAAGATGAGGTTATGCTGCAGTGGGGTGGACTCCTAATCCAATATGACTGATGTCCTTAAAAGGGGGAAATCTGGGCACAGACCTGCATACAATGAGAATACCACATGTACATGAAGGCAGAGATACAGCTGATGTGTCTACAACCCAAGGAACACCAAACACTGCCAGCAAACCACCAGAAGCTAGGGGAGAGGCAAGGACAGACTCCCTCACAATGCTCAGAAAGAACCAGCCCTGCTGACACCTTGACTTTGGACTTCTAGCCTTCGAAACTTGAAGGAAATAAATTTCTGTTGTCTAAGCCACCCAGTTTGTGGTACTTTGTTACACCAGCTGTAGCTCATATACTAATACATCATCCTAAACAGGGAACCAGCACCACTATTCAATTTATAGATGCCATTCAAATTTCACCAGCTGACCTTTTTCTGTCCTTTTTGGTCCAGGATCCCATATTGCACTTGGTTGTCACATATCTTCATTCTTCAATCTGGACAATTCTGCTGTCTGTCCCTGTCTTTTATGAATCAGTTTTAAAGAGTACAGGCCTTTTCATTTCTGTAAGATGTCTTTCAAACTAAGTGCATGTCCTCACATGCATGTGTTCAAGAGAAAAATGGTGTTGTACCTTCTCAGTGCCTCATATCAGGAGGTGCAGGAGGTGAATCCATCTTACCCCTGGTACTGCCAACCTAGTATGGCAGGTTTCTCCACCATAAAGTCATCAGTAGTCCCTTTGTAATTCCTAAATATCTGGTACATCATCAATCTGCCTTAGCATCCATTGATGACCCACCCCCATCAGAATTACCACCATGATGATGTTTATTAACTGGTGACCTTTAATTCCACCATTTCTTCTTCAGCTTTTAGTCTACTATAAAATATATACTATAACAATCAACTATAAAAAAAGTATTCCCTCCTCCCATTTATTCATTTATTTATATCATATGGACTCATGGATTCCTATTTTACTCAATGAACTATAATCCATTACTACTATATTTACTTACATTGTCTGGACTCATAGGTTTCTATTTTATTTAATGAATTGTAATCAGTTACTATCATTATTATTTTGATGCACACATTATTCCAAATTTGGCAAATGAGAAAGCTCTTCAAGCTAGGTCCATGTGCTTTTGAAATGTTCTAAACATTATTTGAGCACTTCTTTAACATCTTGTACAAGAGGTAATCCAGGCTCAATTTAGACTTTTCCTGCCTCAGGTCAGGAATCAACAATCACCTTTTTTTTCAAGTGGCTCTCACTTCTCTTCACAGAGCATGGTATTTGGAAACCAAGTTCTGGGTGCCAGATATCCTCACTGCTACTGGGATGCCATTGTTTCTAGGTTGTCTCAGCAAACCAACCTAGGAAATATATGAATGTATATATGTACACACATACATACTGTTCCAGTTACTATTGCTGTCTAACATACCATCCCAAAACGTAATGGTGCAAAACAGTCATTTTATCATGCTCATTGAATACTGTGTCAGGAATTCAGAAACTAAGAATAGCTTGTCTTTGCACACTGGGGTCTAGGTCCTCAGATGAGAAGACTTATAGGCTGGGGTGACTTAACCACTGGGAGTTGGAATCATCTGGAGGTGTATTCTGGCAACTGATGCTGGCTGTCAGCTGGATCTCTTTTGGGGCTGTTAGTCAGAACACTTACACGTGTCCTCTCCATATAGCCTGGGCTTCTCCACACTGTGGCACCTCGGCGTAGTTAGAATTCTTACAAGATGCTCATGGCTCCAAAGGCAAATATTGCAGTGAAAATATTGGGCAGAAGCTATATCATCTTTTCCGACCTAGCCTCAGAAATCATACATCATGACTTCGCTACATTCTATTGGTTACCAGAGTGTCACAAACCTGTTCAAATTTACAGGGAGGAAAGATAGACCTTATAAGCCTACGTTTTGATGGAAGAAGTGGAAAGAGCTCAAGAGAGAATGGTAGGTGAGGAAGAGGAGAACAGGAGTACATCCACCTCTTTCACAGATTGTTGCCAAAAAGGGAAGGAGAGAAATGCAACAAAATGTAGGGGATGGAACATCAAAAGGAGGGATTTTTAAATGGATATATTCTGGTATTTTTGTGTGCTTACAGGAATAACAAAGTAAAGAGGAAATGGAACAAGGGAGTGAAGTGGCAATTGTAGGAACAATGTCATTAAGAGAAACTGTGATTGAGTGCACAAGTAGGGGAGGTGGCCTTAGATAGACACTTATATCTGTGGTGCCTGAGTGAAGACAGAGACTGAGGGTAGAAATGTAGGTAAGTGGGAAGACAGAGTGGTAAGAGGTAGAGAAGGAATTTCACTTCTGTTGCTCCTGTTTTTCAGTAAAGTAGGACATAACATCATCAACGAGGCATGAAGGGATTGATTTGAGGAGAGAAAAGATGTAGACATTTGTAGGGCCCCAAAGCAAGAGTAAAAATGGAGGCTTATATATTACAGGCCTAAAATTTTTCAAGCTAATAAACTGTTAACGTTTGTTCTTTATTTGTACCTTCACATGTCTATCTTCATAACGATAAAATCGAAGAATGTATAAAGAAACATCATTGGGAGACTATGAAAATGACTACATTTAATTATTATCACATATATTTAGAATATTCTTTTGGTAGATCAGGTATGGTTCAATGAGTAATAAAGACATGAGTTATCTGAAAATTAATAATATGTATGTCAGAAAATTTATTTTTCTTATCTTCATTTTAGCAAAGTCACTAATTATGTTGTTACTAAGATTTTCACATAGTCTGTTTTCTATTGATGGTATTGGGCTAAATAATGTAAAAGTAAATGCAACTGTATTCAAATTTTACATAATTTGTATATACTTTCATAGAGATGTAAAACAAAGTTAACATGAAATTAAAATTATTCTCATGCTTTCAAACGTTATTTTCTGAATGCTTAAATCATCAATTAAAATTAAAATAAAATGCAAATTATACTGAATGGGTACTTAAAATGATTTATAGAAAGCTTTAAAATTAAACTTTTTAAACTTTTAATTAAATCCTATTAAATACTTTTATAAAAATAAAACTACATGTGACTAAAGCATTAGATGTCCATTTAGTTGCCAGTGTAAATTCATGTGTCACGCTTGTTATGTCATGCTTTTATATATGTATATGTGTATGTATATATGTGTGTATACACACACACACACACATTTAAGAGTAATATGAATTGTTTAGTACAGAAAAATGCTCCTCAGCCACCGTGTACAACTGCGGCCCTACTGTGAAATGATAACATCATTATGTAAGAAAGCACTGCTTTCACACTGAGAGAGATTTGACAAATTAATTAATTTGTCTTTTCCCTTACCTAATCACTACTACTGACAAATTTTCCCTGCATCCCAAAACACGGGTCCATATCTAAAGTCAACAACAGCATTACTCATAAATCTGCACAGCATTTGCTCACCATCACCTTTTATTCCAACGATAGAGGATAAGAGGTACGGAGACACATTTCCTTGGGACTAGACTAGTGATAATTATCATAACAGATGTTTAGACTTATGGTCATGCTGTGTATAGTAGATAGCCTTCTAAAATGGCTCTCAGTGATCTCCACCTC